GCAAGAATTGCATGCATCAGGCCTCTAGCATATATATAAAAGTCTAATATGCTAAGTGTCCAACCGTTCAACTGTTTGACCATTAGCTATGATGTGCACTGACCACCAGGGGGCAGACGCTCAACACACAGGCATGGAAACATGGAACAGACTGATGAACCTCGGGGGGGGGGTGGTGGGGGGAGGGGCATGAAGAGATTAACCAAAGATGTTATAAACATACTGGAGGCCTGGTGTACTGTGTACCAGTGGGGTCCCTCAGCCTGGCCTCCGGGGATCAGGCTAAAACCTGTTCTCCAACATCCCCCAAGGGGTCCCGGTTTGCGAGAGGGTACAGGCCAGGCCAAGGGATCCCATCGGTGCATAAATTTGTGCACCAGGCCTCTGGTATATCAATAAATGTCATGTTTTTACTTGTACTTTGCCTTTCAGTAACACAAATTAATATGAATTAAGTACAATATCTCTACCAAATGGGAATTTTTTTTGGGGGGGGGAATTATTTTTTGAGTGATCAAACTTAGAAGAAAATGAGAATTCTCATGACAAGACCTGTAGACTATTTCTGTAGTCTAGTCTATGCCAGACCCTCAACTGATGAAGGGTTTTAAGTGAGGTGGAAAAAATGTCAGTTTTCCTCACTATTATTTAACTACCTTCTATGTGACAACTGACAATATGTATTCCTGGCATCTTACACTTTTCATATGCCATAACTGAAAGGTGATGAGTAAAATACAATATATTCCAGAAGACAGAAAAACTTGTTCATATTCACATTTCTAACCTTTGAACAAAGACTAAATAAATCCTTCCAATGGCCTGTGTATTTTCTGCTGCTGAGTTTTAGAATTTCAATGGTATGATTACAACATTTTCCATCTCTATTTTGAGTGTTTTTCTAGATGAAACTTTTCTAAAGATATACTTTTATAAAAAGGTAATAATCTTATTTTTTCACTGAAGAAAAACCACTCCTATATTTTTAAAATATATTTTTATTGATTTCAGAGAGGGAGAGGGAGAGAAAAACATCAATGTTGAGAATCATTGACCTGCTACCTCTTGCACGCCCCCTGCTGGGGATAGAGCCCACAACCCAGGCATGTGCTTTTGACTGGAATCGAACCAAGGGCCATTTAGTCCACAGGCTGATGCTCTATCCACTGAGCCAAACCAGGTAGGGCAAGAAAAACCACTTTTAAAAACAAATACTCAGTAACAGGAATTTTTAGCTCTTGTCCTATGCTTGTTTCAATTATCTTGCTGGGGAGTTTTTACTCCTTAATTCTCATTCCCAAAAGGGAACCATTATCAACAATATACTTATATTCCTCTTAATTTTTCCCTATATGTGCACTATCACATGCATAATTTTATATATGCTGTTTTGCCATTTGCTTTTTTCAAGTACAATAAGTACCTGTCGAAGATATGTTAATCTTAGTTTTGATGTTAATTTATTCTTAATTTTTGAGGGCATTTCTGTAATGAGTCATGGGGAATGGAAGATGGGGAGTGGAGAGGGATGTGAGCTGACTAACACTATCTCAATATATCTTTTTAAAAACAGCTTTAGGATGAAATACCCCTCCTAAAATGACTTAAGTAGTCACCAAATCAAGGTGCTAAATATTCTTATTACTTTTAATGCTTTTTACAAATTAGAAATAAGAAAAACAGCTTTCAGATGTAAATGTATTCTAAACATTGGCCCAATTAGTTGTTTTTATCAAAATTCAGTATTATGGGATCATGTCCTGTCTTCTTCACAAATGTAAGAAAGTCTTCAGGGCTCAACCCCATGGTTGCAGCATTGGTCATTGGATGAAAGTACACCTTTTCATGTCCACCTTCCAAAAAAGCAGAGTCCAGAACAAACTTCACATCTCCATCATCACAGAAGAGTGCCAAGGGTGTGGCACAGCCTGAGCCAACTTTTAGCTTTTCTAGCATGGCCGTTTCATCAGCGAACCGCAGATTTCCACTCCCGACACCTAACTGCTTGGCAAGGTCATTTAAATTAACTTGTCGATCATGAAGAACTGTCACCAGCCAAAAGCCTTTTTTCTTTTTGTCTTTAAGAAATAAGTTCTTACTGTGTGCTCCTTTCAAATGTTGGACATGAGGCATCATTTCTTCAACTGTAAACACCTGTAAAATGTCACATGAGAAATTTAAAAATAATATGCATGTATACACACACACAGTTACAATGTATTTTGCTTGCTGGGCGAAAACAGCAACGTTAGGGGAAAAACACAGCAAGGTTAGGAAGAACTCAGTGCTCGGATTTCACCCATTATGAAATACAAGCCTTTACCCGCTCAATTCCTCTTTT